CAATATGATATCGGAAGTGACGACGGTAACGATAACATGGAGGCCAGCACCTCGACTGCCAAAAATGATTCTGCCATTGGTTCGACGTCACAGACAAAGCCCAATGATAATTCGGCAGAGTACCTTGCTAAGCCAGAGTTCATAAGCTTTTCTTCTTTGATAGCAAAAGCTGAAGCAGAAGAAGCGTCATCAAATCCGACCGGCAATTCAGCCGGCGTTTTATCATTTGAGGAGAATACGACCGAACCTTCGGTGAAAAATCAGACCGAAGAGTTCGATTCGATAAAACCCGAGTCGACTGACATGAATGTTGGCTCATCGTCCACGAGCTCAACGGCGGCTATTCCCATTCCGAAATCGTCACAAAGAGCAACCACACCTGTTTTGTCGCCAGGATCATTAATGGCTAAAAATCTTAATCCGCTTGCGTCAGTTTTTGTTCCTCGATCGCAAAGCTACACTAACTCAACCTCTACCCTCGTTCAGGGAGCTATAGATAAAATGAACGCGATGACCAAAGAGTCCACCGAGATGGGAGAAATGAGAAAACCTGTTAATAATGAAGATAACGATGATGATAATCAAGAATTTGTTTATCCTGGTATGGATGATGAAAGTAAATCCGAAGATGACGAGTTTGTGTACATGCCCAACGATATAAAAGAGGAGGATGAGGTAGAGAACATCGAATTTACATATCCATATCAAGATACAAATGCTGGAAAGGATGATGACGAGAGTAAAACGGAATCTAGTTCTGACGTAAACAAGAAAGACATTTTGACTAAAAACGGTGAAAGTAATTCGAGTCCAAATCTTCTTGGCAGCATGGAAAATGTGATCACCAAAGTTGGAAAATCCACCGATAACTCGATTACAGTTAGAATTAATAGTGCCATTAGCAAGGATGCCTAATGTTTGTCATTAAAAGTTTTTATTATCTTTCTTTGGGAGATTTTGATTTACCATATGTCTATGGTGTGAGTACATTATACATAGCCTATCATTGTTTTTTTTTATATTTATATTGTGTACCATTTTTTTTTTTTCAATGTGCACCGAATCGTCAACCCGCCAGAAAAAAGTAAAGCACAAGACTTTTATGAAAAATCATGTTTCGATTTTCTACAGAAAAAAACATGAGAATTATTTATTATATCACATCATTGATATATATCTTACTTTTTTTTTCTTTTTTTTTTTTTTAAAAAAAAAACCTAATATTAATAAAAAAAAAAAAAAAAAAATTGAAGTTTCTTTTTTTCGAAAAGGAAAAACCCAATTTAACACGTGATAGGATAAGACACGTGCAGATATATAGATGTGTACGTTTCATCTCAAGTTTCTTCTTTGTTATGCAACATGTCAACAAGTCCGCTTTGCATTTTTTGTAAAATCATTAAAAAAGAGATTCCTTCTTATCGCATCTTCGAGACGGAGCATACGTGAGTTGCATGGAATAAATTAATTAATGAATAAACAAACAAGCAAGCAAACGAATAAATAAATTGCTCAGTCGTTACAACATGAAACTTCTATAATTCTTTGGTTCTTCGCATGTTCCAATTATCGATAGCTATGCTTTCCTGGATGTCAACCCCCTGTCGGAAGGACACACTGTATGCACAATATATCGTCTTTTGTGATTCTTTGAACTTCACTAACGATTCCCCTGCAAAAACAAAAATCAGCTTGTTATCCCAAAATGTTTGTCCAGTTTTAATGCATCTTTCTTTGTTATCTTCTATTCTTTGAAATCTGAATCGCTTTCGTTACAATTTCAAAAGATCACAGCAAATTCTTGCACGAACTTCCCGACGAAAGTTTAGCCGACTTACTTCCGGTCGCCAAGAAAGTTGCGAATGCAATTGGCGCTGAAAACTACAATATCTTGCAGGTAATTTAGCAAACCTAAATAGGATTTATCCTGTAAGACGTCGGACATTCCTTGGTGTCTGTACTTATTATCAACCATGTTCTTTTCGTGAAGAACAATGGCGCTCTTGCTCATCAGGTGTGCGAATTTTTGTAACTGATTATCACGTGTCTTGAGATTATTTTTTTTTGAACTCTTTCTCTTGTTAGCAAGTAGAGCATGTTCATATCCACGTGGTATGTGTTAACCATCAATGTCCAACTTTTTATCTTACATGTGTAACGATTAACCATTCGTTTTATTAAATCAAAAAAGATTCCCAAACCTAATAGTCAAGAGGGCTTGGGTATCGGTTGGCCTTCCAAGTCAACCTCCAAAGAGGATCTGGCTGCCACCGCCGAAAAAATTCTTCAAGGGTTCAAGGATTAGAAGGATGGGTTTTTCGGTACGAACTAAATTCGTGATTTGTCTAGTATCCTTAAAGTTCTTATTTAATAATGAAAATTGTAAGAGATCATACTTTGTGTATAGGCTCTGATCCGTGTTGGTGACATTTTCATTAAAACAATGGCATATATTTTAAGATGTTTCAAACACAACAAACTATATACATTTTATTGGATCTAATGATGAGTAACGTAAAGTGATAAGGTGAAAGAATTTACAAAAATAAAGATAATCGCACAAATTACATTAATCGTAATGA